CTGGACAAGGGTGAAGGTGGGGTTTAAGTTAAAACACCCTCTGAAGGGCCCTAAAGACCAAATAGCAAAACAAGAAATGGTAAGACTAGGGGAAAAAAAATACACTTATGTAATCATTCAAATACCCATTATGGATTCAGCACTATGTTAGCAGTTTGGGGGAATAAAAAATTATACAACATAGTCCCTGTTCCCAAAGAGCTTACAATGCTGCTAGAGAAACAAGTCATAGGCATTCTATGTCATGCGCCATTTAAATAACAATCCAAATAAAACATACAGGAATGAAGGCAAGGAATGGACAGATGTAAGTACGAGTGGTTGAGAAGGCTTCATAGCCACGGATGAATCTGAGCCGGGCCCTAAGAAGCTGAATTTTAATAGGCAGAAATTGAGAAGAGCACGAGCAAAGGCCAGAAGACGAGAGGACACGGTGGTCCAGCACTCTGCAAGGAGACTACTCAGGGGCAGATGCAGAGGAGACAGGTCATGTCAGTCATACTGGGGAGAGTGTTAAATGCTATTATCCTTTACACAATTTAAAGGCATGAAATATCTGTGAATATAATTATCATATTTCAATATTTTCAAAAGAAACTGTTTTGGAAATAATTAGAGGAGGAGTCAGAACTAGAGGAGAGGAATTTCAGGAAAGGATGATGTAGACCAGAGGTTCTCGAAGTGGCCCACAGACCTCTTGGGGGGTCTCTGAGACACTTTCAGAGGGTCTGTGAGGCTGAAACTATTTTCATAATACTACTAAGATGTTATTTTCCTATTTCACTGTGTTGACATTTGCACTGATGGCACAAAAACAATGGTGAATGAAACTGCGGTTGTCAAGCTGTGGAACCAAAGTGTACTAATAGCATTGCATTCTTTTTTTTTTTTTTTTTAAACAGCCTTATGAGGCATAACTGATGTACAATAAACAGTGTATATTTAAAGTGTACAATTTGATGAATTTTGTGTGTGTGTGTGTGGTACACGGGCCTCTCACTGTTGTGGCCTCTCCCGTTGTGGAGCACAGGTTCCGGACGCCCAGGCTCAGCGGCCATGGCTCACGGGTCCAGCCCCTCCGCGGCATGTGGGATCTTCCCGGACTGGGGCACGAGCCCGTGTCCCCTGCATCAGCAGGCGGACGCTCAACCACTGCCCCACCAGGGAAGCCCAAGTTGATGAATTTTTTACATACGTACACACCTGAGAAACCATCACTACAATCAAGATGACAAACATTTTGATCACGTCCACAAGTTTTCCCATAACCCTCTGTAACCTCTCTCTACCCCCTCATTCTTAGATAACCACTGATCTATTTTCTGTCACTATAAATTTGTTTGCAAGTCCTACAATTTTATATAAATGGAAGCATATAGCAAGTACTCCTTCTTCACGCTAACACTAACCAAAGGCAAACTAAACAAAGCAGACTTTGGACGAAGTAGACATCAGAACAAGGAAGGACTCAGGAAAGAGAGGATCATCACATCTTGATAAAATATCAATCCATTAAGAGAACATAATAATCCTAAATGTTTATGACCCTAAACTGTTACTAGCTGCTAAACAAAAACTGATCAACCTAAACTGAAAAAGAAATAAATATGCAACTATAGTTGAGAAATTTCAATACCTGTCTCTATATAATGGGTAAAACAAGTGTACGTAAAATCAGTAGGGATACAGGGGACATGAACAATCAACTTAATTGACATTTACAAAAGACAAAAACAGCAGAATACACATTATTTTCAAGTGCACAAGCTATCAAGATTGACTATATTCTGGGCTATAAAACAATAAATTTAAAAGGACTGAAATCATACAAAGTATGTTCTCTGAACACAACAGAATTAGAAATCAATAACAGAAAGACAGCTGGAAAATCCCCAAATATGTGCAAACTAAACATTATACTTCTAAGTAAACCATAAGTCAATGAAAAAATCGCAAGGGAAATCACAAGAAAATATTTTGAATAGAATAAAAATTATCTTGAAAACTTGTATCTTGAAACCCATCAGCTAGAAAGCTTCCTAAAACTTAAAAGACTTTTCTGATGAGAATGGTGATGCTATTAACAAATGTCACTTTTTCTATAATAAAGTATATAAAGATGCATCAACATTTCGAAGATCTATATAGCTTAGTAAACCAATATTTTCCAAATGGCCAATGAAAAGTATTACGAAAGATCCATTCCATGCAAGATAGACCAATGGATTTTACTGAAAGACTAGGAAGGGTTCATTGATCATGGGTTCAGATTCTTTTTTTTTGGGGGGAGGTATGCGAGCCTCTCACTGTTGTGGCCTCTCCCGTTGCGGAGCACAGGCTCCGGACACGCAGGCTAAGTGGCCATGGCTCACGGGCCCAGCCGCTCTGCGGCATGTGGGATCTTCCCGGACCGGGGCACGAACCCGTGTCCCCTGCATCGGCAGGCAGACTCTCAACCACTGCACCACCAGGGAAGGCCATGGGTTCAGATTCTTGATTGCAACAAACAAACCTTTAAGAGACTACTCATTAGTGGTAGAAACAACCCAAATTTGGTGGAGTATCAAAAAAATCCACAATTATCTAAACAGGTTGCCAAAATGCTCCTCTCTTTTTCAGCTGCATATGTGTGTAAAGCAAGATATTCTTCATATACTTAAAACAAACCAAAAATCACAAGACTGAATGACGCAGACAGAAGAAACCAGCTGTCTTCTATTAAGCCAGACACTAAAGAGACAACAATGTAAACAATGCCACTACTCTCATAACATTAAAAAGAAATTTGGAATATAATTATTTTCATAAAAATGTCACTTAAATTCACATACAATGAGTTTATTCTAAATAAACATTAAAAATTTTTTTATCAGTTTTAATGTTTAACTACCCACCATTTTACGACAGACGCAAGAGGGCTTGAAACAATAAGTAGTAAGATTTAGTGACTGAATGAATTATAGTGGTAAAAGTAAAACACCTTAGGTAACTTTGATGTAAGATCACTTCATGCTCAGAAAACTTTGAGATAAAAAAATGATATAATCTTAATGGACTTGGTTGTTCATAGCAGATTTGCCTGTTCTAATCTAGAGAATTAATCACCGTGTGAGCTGAAGAAAACTCATTAACTAAAAATATCAGATTTTATAAGAGTTCAATTAGAATTCCAGCACATTACCAAAAGGCTGCCTTTTATACCCACACTTAATAAATAGGACACGTTTTTGTACAGTGCTACCATGCCTGGGCTGAAACAGAACAACTGATGGGGTCAGATTAGAGATTCACCCAAGGCAGAGTGAGCCTAGATCCAGCACAGAGAGAAGCCTTCATCCTAGCTGGGTAGTCCTCACAGGACTGAATGTATCCAGACCCCCTGCAGGCATATAGTGCAGTAGTTAAAGCTTGTGGAGGCAGACTGCTTAGTTTATTCTTTTCTTAGTTGTATGATTTCAGAAAAGGTTTACTTAACCTCTTGGTGCCTCACTTTTCTTTTTTTTTTATAAATTTATTTATTTGTTTGTTTATTTATGGCTGCATTGGGTCTTTTTGCTGCCCGCAGGCTTTCTCTAGTTGCTGCGAGTGGGGGTTACTCTTCGTTGCAGTGCACGGGCTTCTCATTGCAGTGGCTTCGCTTGTTGCGGAGCACGGGCTCTAGGCACGCGGTCTTCAGTAGTTGTGGCTCGAGGGCTCTAGAGCACAGGCTCAGTAGTTGTGGCGCACGGGCTTAGTTGCTCCGTGGCATGTGGGATCTTCCGAGACCAGGGCTCAAACCCGCGTCCCATGCATTGGCAGGCAGATTCTTAATCACTGTGCCACCAGGGAAGCCCTCATTTTTCTTAAAATAGGGATAATTATTAAATCATAGGGTTACTGTGGGGATTATAAAGGTAAAGCACTTAGAAAAGCACCAAGTATGAGTACTTGATAAATGTTACTATTACAGTGTTTTACCTGAAATATGGAGTAATAAAGTACTAGTCTAATATACAGGGTCGGTTAGGGTATGAGAAATATTAATAAGCTACTCTAAAAGTTAACTATGATATCTAAAAGGTCTAGGATTAAAGATCCATAGAGTAATCACAATTAAGGTTATTTAACAAATTACCTCAAAGTTATCATTTAAAAATGAGTAAATAATAGATTTGGTATAGACTTTGGATTCAGAAAACATCTACTGAATGTTTTCAAAACCAATGCATTTCTTTTATTGTTGTGAGGAAAAAAAAGTATCCTCAACTAACAATTATGGGGCAAGTGATATGTTTTTCCTTTTTTTTTTTACGAAAACCAAAATTTAAGTAAAACATTAAAAAATTTAATAAAGGAAAGATACAAAGTATTGATAGCTGTATGATAATATTATAACTATGAAAGCACCAGCATCTAAACCTTCACTCAAAGCGAAAAAGGAAAAATATAAGTTGAATGGAAAATGACTCAAGAGTCCAAGGACAATCAGCCTGTATGAGAGGAAAGTCCAGAGGGAGAGTGGTGGTAACCGGCAGGAGAAGAGCAGGTGGGTGAACAGCCTGCTGTGATGGCAAAATATATCCTGTAGGGGCAGGATGAAGGACTCTAGCACCTTGACCTGACGCTGGGCAAGGCAGAGTCATTCAAACAGCTTTCTGGGACTACTCCCATTGCTGGTCGATGCCTAAGACAACAGAAACCAGGGCAGGGAGTTTGCAAAATCACCCCACAAACTGAACTGGCAGTTTGAGGTAGAAAACACTTTGAAAAGAGGATATGGTAGTCTGCAAACTGCCGTCAGTTATGTCAACGCGTGGCAAAGAACTTCCACGTTCTTACTTCTGCAAGCACCCCCGTGCTTCTGCAGGACATCTACAGCCAAACACTGGGAGCCCAGCACTCTCTGCTTCAGGCCATAAACCTGTACTAAACACCTCAGAGCAGAGATGGCAGCAGCAGCCCGGAAGGCTTCTAGGATTCCAGGAATGCTTGAATGCTTCTTCATGTAATCAGCTTTGTACCTCCATCTGCCTCACTGACAGAACAAGGACTTAGATGTAGGTCAGGAGGAAAGGAAGTTGTACACACAGTCTATGTTTCTGATATACTCCAAATCAGCTCAGGTGCTGTTTAAAGGCAAAGGAGAGAGTGTGCAGGAAGTTTGGTGACTAGGAAAATAATAAGAAGGCTGCTCATCTTTGTAGGCCAAACATTATACTTCCTTTGAGCAAATCTTTGGGTTTGAGTAAATAGGATAATCAAGACTCACGGTGACTACTTTTCAGAGAAAAAGACAGTGAGGAAAAAAGTACCAAGGAGATTCTAATTTGTGATCTTTTCTCAAGAAAAAGTTATACTATGATTAAAAGAAATGTACTGACTTACCTGGAAAATATCTGTCTTGTCTTCAAATAAACTGACAAAATATTTATAGTCAGCATAAGCCCAGAATTTGGAATGATCATAGTCTCTAAATGGTCCAGAAATACTAGATCGGTCACAGTTCCAGGTCAGAAACTCTTCAAGTGTAGCTTCTACGTAACTACATGTGGTTTCAAACTGAGGAGCTGCAATGTAAGAGAACCCAACTTTAAATGTACATTGAACACAGTTTCCAAATATTGTTGTTTTCTTAAATGAGGATAATTTCAACCAGGAAGTATTAACTATTATTTAACATTAATTAGAAATTAATTATGTACTTGCTAAATAATTAGAACCATTTACAACACTTAATACTCTTGATTAAAAGTAAAAAACACAATTTTAACCTTAAGATTAAAGACTACCCTTTCTATAGCCTGATGCAGTAATCCAGTGGAATACTTTAGTTTATCACTTCCCCTCAATCATTAAGTAGACAACAGCAATTTAAAGTCTGTTCAATTATTCATTAACCCATTTATTTCAGAATCATTTATTAAGTACCTAATTTGTAACTAGCATTGTGCTCAGGCTTGCAGGAACATAAAAGAAATAGATAATACTCTTGAGTTTAGACTATATTTAGATAAAAAGAAAACGTCAACCAGAATAATAGGGAATTTGAGGCATCATATAACTAGATGCCAAATTTTGTGCCGTAGACACCTAGGAAAAGGCAAAGACCGCCGGAGATGAGGGCTGATCAGGAAAGCTTGAAGAAAAGTCTACTGTCTGTCCATAGTGGTTTGTTATTACGGGTAGAACTCATTTATACAAGAATTATTCTTCTAAATAGTGATGAAATGAGGTTTTTTTTGCAATTAGCTGAATACTTGTAATGTACATTGGGATGTTAATATTCAAGAAACCTGATTATGATCTATTTTGGAAAACATGAAATCCTTTCAAGAGGAGATGTAGATCTAACACATGTAAATCAGTCAGCACAATGCTAGACACATAGCAGATGCTCAGTAAAAGTTAGACACTATTATTAGTACTTTTTATTATTCATTCATATATTTACTTGGGGCACTTTTAAAAGTTAGCTGAATTGGTAGTAGGAAGAAAAGGATATTCAAACATCTTTTATCTTTTCCATCCATTTCTGCTCAAACTGTTTAGGATTATCCCAATCACGTTTCTCCCTCCTCTCTTTATCCTAAAACCTTATAATGGCAGAGAAATCATGGAGGGGAGGGTGTGTGTCACCCTTAATTCATTTACTTCATCAACTTGTCACCTGACTTTAAGAAGCAGGAAAACTTTACTAGGCTACATTTATCTAAAAGATGAAACCCTGCAGATTTAAGAACTATTTAAATTTGATAATTTTTGAGACACATTTAGAATAGTGGTTGGCACACACTGACCCATCAATATATAAAAGCTCTTAATATTATCAACATCATCATCAAGAATTTACCATAACAGCATTGGAATACACGTTTTTTTTTTAACAAACAAAAACCCATGTAGCAAGAAAGCTGCTTCGTGCTGGAATCATTTCTAAATCATTTCTTCAGTAAGCTCCAATGTGAGCCTGAACACATTCTACTGTCCTGTAAGTTTTCACTTCACAGAATTCAATCCAACTGATCCAATGGGATACTAAAGCCATTGCTTGAGCCACCTGCCCCTAGGGTAGACTGAGGACTTTTCAGTTATGACCAGTTTTCACAGGCACATCCGTACTGCACCCTCATCCGAAGACTTCATTTTCTGTCACAGCAAGTGCTGTACTTAAAAGAATGAAAATCTAAAAATGCAAACAACTACACGTGAGAACTGTTACTGTCAGGGGAAAATTACAATGAATGGAATGAATGAAAATGACAGACTTTTTCATTTACATAGTGATTTCAAAATAGAATCTTTTCACCCGTTCCTGGTAATAATGGCACCAAAGGCATTGTTTTCATTCTGTTATCATGACAATTTCTTTCTGGGTAGTACAGTTGTTTTTCTTAGTTTATTCTATGCAATGGAATTATTCCTTTCTAACTTGATTATTATTGTTCTTTGGTTTAACATTAAAGTAGCCTAGGCAGCTGCAACTTTCATCCTACTTACTGTCAAAATGTTAGGTAAGAGGAGGCTCAACTGAGTTTAGGATTTGGAAATAGTGTATAAATTCAGTTTGCTTTTGACTCTTATAAAAGGGAGTCCTAAAATATTTTTTGCACAGCAGTGAAACAAATATTTCTCCATTTTGTTAGACTTCATCACTTCACAATCAAGAAACACTTGGAATGTGGGTACCGACTATGACTTTTGATTGTTACTCCACTCCCTATGAACAAATATTTAGGATTATTTCTACATCTGCTTGCCAAATCACTGCCAGCTGAGGTATAGTGTTGTCACTGAGAATATATGTTGGCAAATGAATCTGATCCAAAATGTTTCAAAGAGCTACTGTGATGTTATTATCTGCTTCCTAAAATAAGCTAAGAGACACATTACAGCCAAATATGCCAGTTATTAATACTATTATTTCAAGCATTCTAGAAAAATTCTAACCAAGACCTAAAACAGAAATAAATATGCTCAACAGAAAGGAAACAAAGTTATCATTGCTTGTAAGATCATATGCCTGTCTTACTAAAAAGCCCACAAGAATAAACTAAAAAACTATGTACACTATTAACTGGCTGGATAAAAAATAAACACACAAAAAATAAATGGCTTTTATTTGTATATCAATCACAGTTTGAAAAACAAAAGAGGCAAAAATATTTCCTAACAGCTATAAAAATTTTATAATATTTTAAGAAATTTGTAGACTTATGTGAAAACTCCAAATCTTTTTATTCCCCCAAATCTTTTTACTGAGGCAAAACAAACTAGGTAAGTGAAGATTACACATTCTTGTGTAGTAAGATACAGTATTGTCACAAGGTAGATTCTTTCCAAATTACATAATTTATAGCACTTCATGAATTTTCATTTAAAATCCTGTTGACTGAAAGAAAAAAAGAAAAACACATGACCTAAAAGTTGCAGGTTATGTTTTATTCGGGTATCTTACTGAGGACTATAATCTGGGAGACGGCCTCTCAGATGCTCTGAGGAACTGTTCTAAAGAGGTAAGCGAGGGCTTCCCTGGTGGCGCAGTGGTTGAGAGTCCGCCTGCCAATGCAGGGGACACGGGTTTGTGCCCCAGTCCGGGAAGATCCCTACATGCCACGGAGCAACTAGGCCCGTGAGCCATGGCTGCTGAGCCTGCGCGTCCGGAGCCTGTGCTCCGCAACGGGAGAGGCCACAACAGTGGGACGCCGTGTACCTCAAAAACTAAAAATAAAAAAAAAGAGGTAAAGGAGGAGCCAGTATATACAGGACTTTTTGTGAAAAAAAAAAAAAGTAGCTTTTACAAAAAAAACCAGACACCTCAAGTTAATGATTTTAGTGCTTTTCTATGGATGGAACGATGCAAAAGTCTCAGCTCATTGATATTATTGCTTTGATATGCATCTTAACTATCTAGGGCCAGGATCCTGTTTTTCTCCATTCCGAATGCCCCTCAGGGAGCACCATTATGGGGCGGGGGAGGCAGCTGCAGTGGCTGATGGCTTGAGGGCACGCAACATTCATTGTTTAATGTGAGCTCACTGTTTAATTCTAAAATTCGTTTAGAGGAATAAAATTCAATTGTATCTAATAAAATACTGAGAAAGAAGAGTGATTAGGGAGGATGAACTGTTCTTTCAAATATTAAAATATATACCAGTTGCTAAAATAGTTTTTAAAAAGTGTTTTACTTGGGGGCTTCCCTGGTGGTGCAGTGGTTGAGAGTCCGCCTGCCGATGCAGGGGACGCGGGTTCGTGTCCCGGTCCAGGAGGATCCCACATGCCGCAGAGCGGCTGGGCCCGTGAGCCATGGCCGCTGATCCTGCGTGTCCGGAGCCTGTGCTCCGCAGTGGGAGAGGCCACACAGTGAGAGGCCTGCGTACAGCCAAAAAAAAAAAAAAAAAAAGTGTTTTACTGGCTCCAAAACTGATAGCTCAATAAAATGCCCAAAAACAGATGCTGGAATATATAAGAATATAGTAATATAATAAAGATGGTTTCAAAGTCAATAGGGGAAAAAAGGATTATTCAGTAAATGGTACTACAATAAAGATGTTATTTCCAACTTAACTATTTGGGAAAAAGTCAGTGAACGCCACATACTAAAATAAATATGGAATGGATAGAGAGTAAAATATAAAAAAGAAATCATTAAGCTGAAGAAAATATTAGAACAGTTATCTATTGTCCCCTGAAGAAAATATTAGAACATTTATCTACTGTCAGGATACAGAAGGAATTTCTAAATAAAATAAGAATAAAAATATTAATGAAATATTATTTGACTTAAAAAATATGAAGCAAAAATCAAAAGTCAAACAATAAACTGGGAAACATTTGTTTAGTACATTAGTAAACAAACACAGTATTCTTAATATTAACATGAGGAATTTATTTATTAAAAAATCGCCAAACCCTGAAACCCTAATAAGGATAAGCGAAAGAACAATTACCAAAAATACCAATTATTCATAAACATGAACATATGGTTCAACATCACCAGCAAAGATATGTTAATTAAAGTCAGGAGACACCCATCTCTCACCTATCAAGAAGATAGTTGTTGTTTTGGGTTTTCTTTGCGGTTCGCAGGCCTCTAACTGCTGTGGCCTCTCCCGTTGCGGAGCACAGGCTCTGGACGCGCAGGCCCAGCGGCCATGGCTCACGGGCCCAGCCGCTCCGCGGCATGTGGGATCCTCCCGGACCGGGGCACGAACCTGTGTCCCCTGCATCCGCAGGCGTACTCTCAACCACTGCGCCACCAGGGAAGCCCAAGAAGATAGTTTTTTAAAAACAAAAATTTCAGTTTGGGCAAAGGAGTGGCCAAACAGGCACCCTGGCATGTTCTGAAAGGAAAGTAAATGTAAACCACCCTTCTGCAAAGCACTTGACCTCATGTATCAAAGGTCTTTCATTCTTTCACTCCACAGACGTCTGACTATCCAGATATTAGGTGCTCAGCCAATAATGAGATGTGGCCCTGGCCCTTACAAGGTGGCCCTCTTGAGGGGAAGAGAGACTTTAAACAGATAATTACTTACACAACTAACCATGTGATTACAACTGTGCTAAGTGTTACTCAGAAATACAAGGTGCTCTGAGATAACTTAATAGTAACACCTGATTTGGGGGGTGAGGGAGGGAGATGTGGTCAGAAACACTACCATGAGGAAACAACTTTGGGGCTAAGATCTGAAGGAAGCAGAGCAATTAACTAGGTAAAGCTGGGGTAAGGGGAAGTGGGAAAAGAGAGAAGAACGGCTAGACTGTATATGCAAAGGCCCTGAAGTAAGAAAAAGCAAATCTCTGGAAATACAAAAACTGGAAAAAATGCTTTTTTGCCCCAAGCTCAGAAAGAGGAATTAAGCTGAGGAGGCCAACTGAGCTTTCTATACCATAACAAAAATGCTGGTCTTTAGCCTAAGGGTAATGGGAAGCCATCTAAGGGTTTTAAACAGGCAAAGAAGATGAGATTTTTCTTTTTTTAAAACTGTCTCTGGTTTCAGTATGAAGAATGGCTGAGGCGGGAGGGCAGGGAGTGCACAGGGACTAGGGACGAGGCTACTGCAACCACGGAGGTGAGAGAGCAGGCTAACCCCAACTGGAGGATGGCCTCGGACAGAGAAGCAGGTGGATGCTGGATACTTCAGGTGTAAGTCACCAAGTCACCAGACACCACTTAGAGAGGCCATCTGACTGACGCAGAGGCTTCTGGCATAAGAAGCTTCTTGGATAGTACTGCTCCTGGTGATAATGTTCACACCCTGTGACCCAGGCATTCTCCTAGGAATCTATCCTAGGGAAACAATCAGAAACTTGGGCAAGATTTATTTTCAAACATGTTCAGTACAGTCTTATTTATAAATTTAAAACTGCTAAGCAATCTAAGCAAAATAGGAGAATTTTTTTTTTTTTTTTTTTTGCAAATGTTTTTTTTTTTTTATACACAATGTATTTATTTATTTATTTATTTATGGCTGTGCTGGGTCTTCATTTCTGTGCATGGGCTTTTTCTAGTTGTGGCAAGTGGGGGTCACTCTTCATTGCGGTGCGCAGGCCTCTCACTATCGCGGCCTCTGTTGTTGCGGAGCACAGGCTCCAGACGCGCAGGCTCAGTAATTATGGCTCACGGGCCCAGTTGCTCCATGGCATGTGGGATCTTCCCAGACCAGGGCTCGAACCTGTGTCGTCTGCATTGGCAGGCAGATTCTCAACCACTGCGCCACCAGGGAAGCCCAAAATAGGAGAATTTTAAAAATAAATTATGGTACTACCATACAATGGAATATTAGGTAGCCATTTAAAAGTCATATTTAATGTCAAGAGAAGCTGCTCAGAATATGTTAAGTAAAAAAAGAGAAAACGCAGGCTGTTCAAATGAAGACAATTTTATTTTTAAAATACAGAAAGGCCTGCATGGACATATATCAAAATGTAATTAGTGATTGCCTCTTGGTAATAGGACTAAGTGTTTTTAAATTTCTTTGGGTCTTCCCATTTTTCCAGTGTTCTCTAAAATGAGAAGGTATATTTTAATTTTTGAAGTCATTTCTATTTTTAAATAATATTTTTTGAGCATTTACTATGTGCTAGGCACTGTTCTAAATGTTTAATGACTATGAACCCATTTAATCTTGAAAACATTTCTAAGATACAGAAAAATTAAGTGACTTGCTCAAAGTGACAGAGTAAGCCAAAATTTGAACCCACGCAAGCTGACTTGAGTCAGCTCTCTTACATCAATCACTACCCTACACTGCTTGTGGAAGTACTGTATTTATACTCAAAGAAATAACTTTAAAAAGAACAAATTATTAAGGCAACCCACATAATGGGAGAAAATATTTGCACATCATGTATCTGATAAGAGTTAGTATCCAGAATATATGAAGATCTCTTATACCACTCAACAACAAAAAGGCAAAAAAAAAAAAAAAACCCCAAAACACACATAAAAACAAAAAATCTCAATTCGAAAACAAGCAAAGGATCTGAATAGACATTTCTCCAAATTAGATATACAAATGGTCAATAAGCCCATAAAAAGATGCTTGACAACATTAGTCATTCGGGAAATGCATCAAAACTATAATGAGATAATACTTCACACCCACTAGGATGGCTAGAATAAAAAATGGAATAAGTATCGCCAAAGATGTAGAGAAACTGGATCCCTCACACGTTGGGGTGGGAATGTGAAATGGTTCATCTGTTTTGGGCAACACTTTGGCAGTTCCTCAAAAGGTTAAACATAGTTGCTGCGTGACTCGGCAATTACACTTCTAGGTTTAACCCAAGAGAAGTGAAAACGTATGTCCACAAAAAAACGTGTACCTAAATGTTCATAGTAGCATTATTCATAATAGCCAAAATGTGGAAATAACCCAAACGTCCATCAACTGATGAATGGATAAACATTTTGTTTATCCATATGATGGAATATTATTCAGCAATAAAAAGAAAATACAGATACATGCTAAAACATGGGTAAATCTTGAAAACATGATACGTGACAAAAGCTAGACACAAAAGGCCACAACTGTATGATTCCATTTATATATATATCCAGAATAGGCAATCTATAAAAACAGAAAGTAGATTAGTGATTGCCAGGGGCTGGAGAAGGGGGTGAATGGGGAGTGACTGCTAATGGGAACCAGATTTTTCAGTGTGACGAAAACGTTCTGGAATTAGATAGTGGTTGTGGTTGCACAACATTGTGAAGATGCTAAAACCACTGAATTGTATACTTTCAAATGGTAAATTTTATGTGAATTTCGTCTGAATTTTAAAAAAGAACAAATTATCTTTAGTAAAAACTCAGAGCAGTTTCTCTCGATTGCAGAGACTTTCTACTTCCCTTTTTCTTCTATGCTGGAGTACTAACTTTAAAATGTCAAATTACTGTATCTCCGCTATAAAACAGGATAATAATGGTACCACTCCAAGTGGGTTTGAAGAAGATTAAGAGAGTTAATATGTATAAAGCCCTCAGAACAGTGCCTGACACAATAGTTCTCAATAGCTCTTAGTAGTAGTATTGTATTTGGAGTCTAACCAAATTTCAGGAGGTGAAAAGAATTACAATTTCTATTTTTCTTCAAATTATTGTTTAACAGACACTTCAATGAGTGGAAAATTTATCTGACTAAAATCAAGAAGAAAAGAGCACAAGCTGATTTTTACGTAGCTGCTGCTGGTCTAGCATTTAATTTAAAAATACAATAAACATTTTGGTCTGTGACTAGAAAGAGATGCCAAAGAGTTTCGGGTCTATTAATCCTGCTCTACCTGTCACTGGAGTACAAAGGGGTTCCAGACACCAAAAACCCAATAATTATATGAGATATACTAGAAGATCAACATGAGAAAACAAAGCCTGGAGAAGCTGGAAGAGAAACTGGGTAATTTTCTAGTTCCTTCTGAGTTATTAATAGATATTCTTAGAGCCACTTCACAGCAAAGCTTAAGACACTATGAATTTCTAGACTATCAAATTTACCCATATTTAAATAGAAGTTAAACACATATTCTGAAGCCAGACAGTGGTCATGGACTTCTTTAGATTAGAAACAGTTTCTAATGTAAATTGTCTCTTTCCTATAAACTAACTGTCTTTAGAGTAACAGTAATTGCTTTATCTGGCTTAAGGCAAAAAATCAAACTGTACAAGTCTTCAGGGAAGAAGAGGGAGCTGGCAAAATCAAACTGCTTAAGAGGATGAGAAAAACAGCTTCACATATGTTTCACATTTATGTAATGCAATAGAGGTCGGGCAGCTGATAAAGAGGAGAGATAAAATTACACCCAGACTGAGCACTATAAATAGTGAGTGAGGCGACAAATAAAAGGACACATTGTACATGAGTCAAAAGTAGAAGGGATTGTTAGATTAGTATTGGTCTCTTTCAATCACATAAATAATAGCACATTAACAAATATTTATTAAGTGTCTACTATGATCAATGAACCATGATACATGAACAAATACATTTTATGTGGGGTTATAAATTATAGGTTGTTTAGTCTAAAAAAATTATCTTAAACTGTCCTTTTAAAATTTCTAATGAAGTTTTCCTATCTGAAAATGGTCCAAAATAGGATTCAAATAAAGGATTCTCTAGAGATAAAGCAACCACGGTTGAGAACGTGGGAATGCTACTGAAGAGGCATTATGATGATGATTCCTTGTAGTCCTACCTGTATCTGTGCGTTTCGTTCCCATCCTGAATCGTATCTGCTTGCCCTGAAGGACCTCAGAAAGATGTTTTGCAGTCCAGTGTTGGGCTGGCCAATCAAAAACCATGTTACAGAAGATTGCAGGTTGTTGTAAAGACATTATAATTTCTTTCGCTTTCTCTGGTGTAAAAGGTTTGACATGTTTACCTAGGGAGAGAAATAAATAACTAAAAAGTTATTTCATATAATATGAAGAATAAATAGCTAATATCATTTCTATTATGGCAAATCTTTCTGTGTAATTGCACTTCATTTACTCTTCATTTATTACTGTTTACATAAATATTTGGCCTCAAAGAGCCATAATTCTTCAATGATTTTTCTCAAATATTAAATTGTAAATGTTGGAAAATATTTACAATCTTCAATGTCAAAAATGTTCCTTTAAAAAGGCTTTCCAAGTATTTATGTACATTTAAAAGATGCAATTTTTTGACAATATTATTTCCTAAATAGAGAATTATGTAAGAAATGCTGATGGAACCTACTCTTGAACAACTAGCGTTGCTGGACTCAGCAACAATTCTACTTGATATAGCACATGTTCATGCCAAAAAGACTACCACATTCACACAGCAGTGGATGGGGAGCGGGAGAGGGGATAATTTTATTGCAAGATTTAAAAAGATAAAATATGTGCTAGGGTGGATATCAGTGTTAATCCTTGATTCTGACTGCATCTATAAACTGTACAAGGGAATATGCACAAACTAACACTGTGACTTACTGAGGACTTCAATAAATTTCAATCACAGAATGTTAATCCAGGATAGGAGGGTAAAGATGAATATTTGTTAAATAAAAGAACGAGTGGGGACTTCCCTGGTGGCGCAGTGGTTAAGAATCCGCCTGCCAATGCAGAGGGTACAGGTTCGGGCCCTGGCCTGGGAAGATCCCACATGCCGCGGAGCAACTAAGCCCACAGTAGTGCGCCACAACTACTGAGCCTGCGTGCCTAGAGCCCGAGCTCTGAAACAAGAGAAGCCACCACAGTGAGAAGCCCGTGCACCAGAATGATGAGTAACCCCCTCTAGCCGCAACTAGAGAAAGCCTGCGCGCAGCAATGAAGACCCAACGCAGCCAAAAATAAATAAATAAATTTATAAAAATATATATTTAAAAAAAATTAAAGAACAAGTAAGTTTCTCTTTAAAGACATCTCAAGATGAAAGTTTGGGGGGAAAGTTGAAAAATGCTTCATACTCTGATCCCCAAAACATGAATTTATGATTCTCTAGTACAATCAGCTAAACCCTCTATTTCAGTTACCTAATCTGTAATTACACTTACTCAAAAAATTATGAAAAGCTCATGAATAATCCAAATTCCCCCTTCAACCAACCTTCTTCTAAACTTTCTGACAAAAGGAGGAGGGACGGAGAAGGACTCATCGAGGAACCTGAGTAATTTGGACTTGTCTGAATGTGAGGCTTGTTTTTAAAGAAAATGAAAATTTAGGTCAGTTTGGCCCTCCTTTCTCAGACAAGGACAAAACCTGCAAACCTCTCCTAAACCAGTGGCGAAAGCGAGCAGGCTCCAAGCCCTCAGCAGCTGACATCTGAGAACACTCTGGCCCCTTCTGGGTAGTCAGGGCTCTCATGTGAGGACATCAGTGTGGGTGCTTCAGGGGATGGGCAGGTGCCAGAGGTGGGGGCTACGTGGAGTAGGGAAGACAGAAGGCACTCTTAGGTCTCTATGTAAAAGAAGGCCCAAGTTTATCTTTAAGTGACCTTTACCTACTGAAGAGCCCTGTTAAGGAAAACAGGCTGTAACCAGGAATTGTTTAAAAAAGGTCTTAACCCGTGCCAGCCTATAAATGTAAGTACAGAGTTACCTAGATTTCAATGTACCAAGTCTTCCTGGACTTGGAGTGCCTGGATTCCCTGTGTATGAAAATGGACAAGCCACATTTTTTATTATATATTTTTAAAGTTTTGCTAGACCATGAAAAGCTACAATTCATTCATGATAATACCTGTTGCTTGTGACATATAAATTAGTACTACCCTTTGGGAAACAACTGGGAAAATGAAGCAAAAGTCTCAAAGAACCACCCATTAACCTAATAACTCATGTTAGAGGAATTTGCTTTTAACAAAATAATCATAAGCCACATACATATTCATTTATACTATATATATGTACACACATATGCATAAAATATCTATTACTATAATAAAAAACCTGAAAATATAAACAACCAAATGTCTCAAAAGTAGAAAAATAATTTACTAAATATTTCTCCCACAGTACAGTCCCCTGGTACATTCAATTCATTAACAATAAAAATGAGGGCTCTGTAGAAATGTGTGGAGCTGTAGGGACTGGAACTGACTCAGAGAGTTATTGCAACAGCCAAGCGAGAGGAGTGGTAATAAGGCCCTGAACAACAAAGGGTGGCAGTGAGGAAGGCAGAGATGGTAGAGATGGAGAAATACTAGGAGAACAACGTCAAAGACTATAACAACTGAAGAGATGCGGGGTAAGAGGCAGATGCAGCTGTAAGGAAGACTGAGGTTTCCAGACTTTGTGACTTGCCACGAGAGAAAGGTTAGGAGTGACATCTCCTTCTGTTGGGAAGATGAGAGTTTGGTTTTGATCATCATCATCATAACAATACCATCTATTTACTTGTATAAGGCTCTACTATTTGCCACACACTTTTATATACATTAAAATAAAAGTGCTCATTGGATCCTCTAAGAAGCCTGTAAAACACAGGTACAGAAGGTATTTTATTTCCACTATCCAAATGAAGAAATGGAAGTTCAGATGTCAAAGGTCAAAACACCAGTGATGATAGGACTATTGGTCAGGTTCCCTGATTCCAAGTCCAATGCTCTTCCTACTGCATAATCCTGCTTCCAGAGAATTAAAACTGTAGGACTTACACCAGCACTAAAAACAGAGAGACAGTATAACCCGAGAAGATAAGCTGGTGCAGGGAAGCTTTAGATGGATCCATAGACAATAAATCCACATGTGCTGTTGGGGAGAGAGGAATGTTCTGGTTTGTGCACATGTTTGTATGTGTGGTGGGGGGAGTAGTTAACACCTATAGTAGAGATTGCTAGTTGCCTACCTTACCCACTACTGCTTCCTTCTTCCTCACTAACAGAACTTTGGGCAATGGGAGCAGCTGAAAAATTACATTTCCCAGATTCCTTTGCAGATAGGAGTGGCCAGAGATATATCTGGAAGTTGCTGAGTCAGCCTTTCCCCCTTATCCTCCTCTCCTATATCCTGCCTGGAAAACAGACATCATGTTTAACCATCTCAACAGATAAAAGAAAGGTCCAGGAAATTGCAAACACTGGCTGAAAGAATGCAAAGATGTCCACCTTTGTGCCCCTGAACCAAAGCCAGCAAAATTCTATCCCCTGAACCCTTTCATATAAATACACTAACTCATAGTCAGGACTCTGTTATTAGTTCATAACTGGTATAGCACCTTGCCTTCTGAGGCTATGGTTTTCAAGGACAACCATATTCTCCCTAGAGAGTGCTCTGTGGCTTAGGCTGGATGAATCATGGCTGGTGTGACTCACTGTAACATTCTTTCAGTTCTACGGTTGTAAAATGTTCAAGCTTTGAACAGTTTGCTTCTAGAACTTTAAAGGGCAGAGAAAAACAGAGGCACCAGTTCTTTGGGGGTGACGATTTATTTATGCTGCTTATCTTAAATCAGAGCCAATAGATCACGTGGCTTTGAATGTTTTCAAAACAGTTCTCATATTTGTACACCTAAGCACGCGGGTATTAGTAACACAGGTAGTGTTTTGACAGAGGAGCTTCAAAGAAGTGAATAAATATTTTTTCCTCTAACATAACATTAAATTTTCTAAAAAAGTATTTAATGAACTGATCAAAAAATGCCAAACATCCCAAAGGTTATTTAATAGGAGACCCTAAAAACTAAAGTTTGCTGAGAAAGTACCAGGTCCAGTGATTGGAATATATTAAATGCTCAAACATTTGCTAAATGAATGAAAAGTGCTGTAAAGCGTATGCAGAGTAGATCAGTACGATGCTCACCATAACAGGAAATTAGCATATTTGAAGAATTTCAGGTCTATCAGTGAAATAAAACAATCAGCTGGTTGTGAGATAAAAGTAATTTGGGTTCTGATCATTTAATCAACAATGAACTGGGCTATTAAATTAACAAATTTAAGTGTTACAATTTTCTTTAAAGAAGAATACAATCTACACTGTATTAATTAAATAGCCTAGGGATGCACCCAGTCATTCCATGCCAGGGATATTTGCAAAGAGCTATAAAAATTCTGAAGCAACCTCAAAAGCCTTTAAAGAATAAATGTATTTAGGTCTAAACTTGCAGCAAGTAGCAATTTCTAACAGAAACTGCTGGAAAAAATGATTAGTGATCTAGGTGTCGCACAATAGTCTCTTCTCCCTCTAAATGTAGCATGTTATTCAGATGATTTATTACAGATTTGGTAACAATTCTTTGGAGATGGTGAAACACCATCAAAAAGCAATTTACTTTTTTCTCAGTTAATTTTTTCTTTAATTAGTGCAAAGGACAAGATAATTTGAAACTTAATTTCTCTGAATTTGCTAGCAATCTGGCTTCAGTCAATTAACATCTGGTTGGATTTGTATCTGAGATTTAGAATTTAAGACAAGAAATACCAAGTTTCCAGAATACACTCCTAATATTGATAGAATACAACAAAGACAGAGATCCTGAAATTGAAATTAACTCGCTTCTCATGTCAGGTATAATTTTAAGAACTATTAATTTTAAATTTAATAGTTTTATATTTTATTAAAACATTTTCAGAAGGTGAGATCAGAGTAAGCCTCAAATTACAATGCAGAGACTCACCACAGTGATACGGTATGAACAAAAAATTGGGTCCTAGCATTGGGAGCTAATTTATTTCTAAATATATACAGGTAAGCCTATGATGGCCTTCATCAATCTGATGACTACTGTATATACACACAAGGGTCATCTACCATCTGGAATGGTAGATATCAGCGTAAAAAATAATGAACATTTAGACCAGGTCAGAAAAACGCTGATGGAATTATGCAAGTACTACTTAACAAAATGACTGTGCTCAGACTGAAGACCGAATGGTAAAACTTACGCCAAAGATGATTTTAATTTTATAGTC